AGAGAGCAAGAGATCGTCAGCTCCCAAAGGCAGAAAAGGATTCAAGGGCCAGGTTCAGCCTTTACTGAGTCATTGGTTCACCTCACTCCTCAGACTGTGCACCTTTAGTACATCTGACAAATTTCTGATGACAAATGTCATTAATACATAGTTACTTATGGTCTCTCAGTCACTCATAACTGGGAAGTAACTCTCCAAAATTCCACGTGTTGTATTAGCAGCAGAAAATGAATACTGGACATGCCAGGAAAGGCAAATTCATTGCTTATTTGCACATTAAGTTGCCAATTGATAAATAAATATTTGTCAATCACAACAGAAGTGTGTGATCCTTAGCATTCTTTACCTTTCCCAATGAGGTGGCCTGGATGATAAAGCCCTGGGCCTGGAGTCAGGTAAACCTGAGTTCAAGTTCTGGCCTTAGACATTTATTAACTGTGTGACTCTAGGCAAACCACTTAACTTCTGTTTGCCTCAGTTTCCTCAACTATAAAATGGGGATAATAATAGCATCTAACAGGGTTGTTGTGAAAATCAAATGAAATAATATTTGTAAGGCACAGTGTCTAGCACATAGTAGGCACGTAATAAATGCTGGTTTCCTTCCTTCCTCTCTTCTTAACTCCTTTTTACCACTCTAGTACCATTCCTGTAGAAGAGCGGGAGCTACATAGGAATGACAGTCATTTTGCATTTTTAAAAATTTCATGGTCCCTGTGACCAAAAAAATCTTCTTTAGCTAGTGACTAGTCTTGTGGGGATGATACACTCTTCATACTTAGTTAGTCTAGTCCTCAGACAATAGACATATGTGTTACCAGTTTTAATTGAAGTCTTTTCTACCAGAGCTTGGGCTCTGCTTTGAATGGTCTTTGAGAACCCAGGGTCCTCAGTTGAATAAGGCATTTAAGCAACTTCTGCGGAAGCTCTGCACATAATTGGTACTAATAAGCATTTGTTGAATTTTTGGGGGGAGGGGGAAGGGTAGGTGGTGAGGATAAGTCTATACACAGCTGCCTGGATAGCATAGCACTTTTACCCTTCTACTCTGAAGGTCCATACAATTTCTCTCAGGGCACGTTACTAGGATATTAATGCACTGAAGAGAGTTCCCAGTGGTTCAGGCAAATGAAGCTCCCTCCTCTGCTGGAGGGGAGAATCCCGTTACCCACGGACTTATGGAAGGAGTCCTACCTCTTTTGGGTTCAAAGATGAGTCTCTTTAACAACCACAGACTATCAACTTTACTGAGGGTGACAAAATCCTTCTCTTACCAGCCCAGAAGAGGTGGGAGAATCCTGATCCATTTCCTTGCATAGGGAATGAAAGCAGAACAATCCAGACTGTGATTTTGCTGGGGGTCAGTGGGACAAAAGTCTTTTTTTTTTTCCAGTCACCTTCAGCAAACCACAGCCATTGTGATTTGGATAAAATAGAAAAGCATGAAGGCGGGAAGTTTGGAAAAATTATTTTCATTCAGTTCCTTGTTCACTTGAGGAATAGAGCACTGGGAACACTTTGCCCTAACCAGGCAGGCACAATATGACCCAAGAACCAAACTGGATTTCTGACCACAGTAAAAATGAGAGTTAAAGGAGTGAGAAGAAGCAGAAGGAGAAATTATCTTAGCCTACATGTAGACTACCTTCTTGCCTGACTTAAGGAAAGAACTTCGTAATCATTAACTGAAAAACCTGGGTAGAAGATCTTTTTAGGGAGAGGCTTGCTAACCATAGCATCTACCACTGGATGGTGAACAGGGTAGCTAAGGGTAGCTCAACTGACTATAACTGAGGTTCAGTGAGAGACTGATGTGGTTAGCAGAGCAGTTGTTTTCCCCTGGAGTGGGGGCCAAGGTTTGGGAGAAGAGGGGGAAGAGACAGTTTGCTAAATACAGCACTCCAACGTTATAACTTGATAACTGAAGACCAATTGGATTGGAGATGTTATTCTCACCTCATCAGCAAGCCCCTCAGAAAGCAGAATAATGACATTGCCAAAAGATACCAGTACACCTCTCTACTGTTAGAAGCATGGTCAGTCCCTTCATGCATGTACCTTGGTCATAGATGTTTTCTTTGTATACGTGTATCCATAAGGGTACAAAAGCCTCACATCTTCTGTATGTATTTATGTCCTATATGTGATTCCTATAAGTATATACTCTTTCAACTAAGGGTGAGTATATTCTTTAGAAAACGAGTTCAAAGGTTTATGGAAAGATATTCTGTTTTTATTTTTATTACTATGGAATTTTATTAAAATGCCTTTACTTTGCTTGGAACTAAATCTTATGGCTGACTAGTAAAAGTAAACACATTAGTGGAGGTTCTTAAACAATGCTTTGGTTTGGAGAGGTTACTACATTTGTTATTTAAGTTGACCAGTGAGCTGATGGCTGAAAGCAGCTCCTACTTCACTCAAAAAAAGAAAAGTAGACAGTGGGACCAAAGCCAATGAGGACTTCCCAGAAGGCCTTGAGAATGAGACTTTTGCTTCACTATGCATCAGAGACTGAAAGAGGATAGAAGAGATTGTTTCTTCTGGGACAATCCCAGACATAAGGAACTTAAGTCAACAAGAATTTACTGTGTGCCAGACACTGTGTTAAGTGCTGGAAATACAAATAAAGAAGAAAACATAGTCCCTGCTTTTAAGGAGCTCACATTCTAACAGGGAAAATAACATACAAAAAATTGTTATACTATATATATATATATATATGTATATATATCTTGTTTGTATACATACACATATGTAGTATATATGTATATATACATTTGCATATACAAATGTATTTATATACATGTATAAATAAATGTGTATTTTATATGCATTACACAATGTAAATGGAAGGTCATTTCAGAGGGAAGGCAATTAGCAATATGCTAGTAGGTAGTGATCAGGAGATGCTTCCTATAGAAGGTGGGCTTTAGGGGGAGCTAGTTGGCAAAATGGATAAAACACAGGCCCTAAAGTCAGGAGGACCTGAGTTCAAATTCAGCCTTAGACTCTGCCATGTGACCCAGAATTTAAAAAAAATGTTGGGTTTTGAGCTGAGGTTTTAAGGAAGGCAGAGGTGAGGAGAGAGAACATTCCAGGTAGGGGGATGGCCAGTCTAAAGGAACAGAGTAGGAACATAAAGTGTACTGTTCCAGTAATAGCGAGAAGAAAGACAATATACCAGAAATATGGAAAGAAAAAAAAGAAAGGATTGAAATTGAGATGAAGGATGGACAGAAAGACACAAACACATAAGAGGCAGTGACAACCACAAAATGTGCTGAGAATTAAGTCAAGCAAAGAGAGGAAGAGAAACATCCAAACACGGGGAAAAAAAGAAAGAAAGAATTACCAGTAACTAAAAACTTGAAACATACGTATATATATAGTGAATGGACTGAAAATTGACTTTGTGGACCATATGATAATACAAATATGAATATATTTGTATTATACAAATATAATTGACAGATAATACAAAAATGAAAAGGAAAGAGAAGCGAAGAAGAATGGGAAATATGTTTAAACCACATTATCTATTTTTCGTGTTTTAAAAATATTTTTCTTTATTTTTACATTACCTGTATTTCTGAGTATATACTGCCCTTATCCATTGAACCTTACATTGTAACAAAGTTTAAAAATATATTAAAAAACAATTCTGCAAAGCCAACCAGCCAACATATATGGTCTATTTCACAATGTCTGTAAAGAAGGGAGGTAAGTATGTTTCCTCAACTCTTCTCCAGGACTGAATCTGGTTATTACAAATTATCTATTTAAAGCAAGACATTTAGGGGATTGCTAGGGATTTGAGTCAGGGGTCCTATATTTAGTACTGTAGAGGAGCCTGGACAGGTCTTGGGAAACTCAACACCTCAGATTGCCAGGCTCACGTCCTGGCCCTGTTCGGCCAGATTATGGATATGGAGCCAGGGCTCACGCTGGGGTTGGTTACATGGGGAAGGCAGGAATGGGTCAGGGTGCTTATCAGGAGTCTCTCCTCCTCACAGAGGGAGTGATAGACATCAGATCCTGGACTTTGCTTTTCCACCTGCTCAGGCCCGTTTCTTCCAGCGGAGCAGGTCAAATTGGGATAGCCAGGAAAAATGGGGAGGGGGAAGGAGGAAGGGAGTTGTAAGGAGAAGAGGAGGGAAGAAGGAATAGATGTGAAAGGTAGGGGAGGAGAGAGATGGGCATCGATGGCTTACTTTAAGTTTCAACTAAAATCTTATCTCTTACTGGATCTCTTACTTTCTCAACTCCTTTTAATTTTAGTGTCTTCCTTCCGTTAAATATTTCCTATTCTTCTAGCATATGGCTTGTTTTGTATATATTTGTTTGCATGTTGTCTCCCCTATTAGATTGTAAGCTCTTGAGGGCAGGTACTGTCTTTTGCCTCTTTTTTGTATCCGAAGTGCTTAAACACAGTGCCTGGAATGTAGTGGACGCTTAATAAATGTTTATTATTGATTGATTTAGATAGAGACACAGAGGAAGAATCGGAAATTGACCCCAGAGACTTGGAGACAGGGGTAGGGACAGATGACCAGGCTCTCGCACTCTCTGCACAATTTGTAGGAAGAACCCGTGTATGAGCAGGGCTGGCAAGGGGTGGAGAGGGGAGGGGAATAATTAGAGCTGTCAGTGGGTTCACTTTTTGGGCTGGGGGGAGGGGTTTGGGGGTAGAATTGGCTTGAGCCTTTGCACACTGCAGAACGGGGGTACCCGGGTTCTATTGCCTAAGACTAGTCGCCATCACCAGGCGGGGCGACAACTTCTGCGCGTTCCTGCCTCCAGGGACCCTTGTCTTGGCGCCCCCCCACGCCACGCCCCCTCGGGCCCAGCCTCAGGCCACGCCCCTGCCTCAGAGCCCCACCCCCTCAGTCAGTCCCCGGGCCCTCTCCGAGAGGCGGCTGGCTGAACGTTCCATCTCAGAACTGGGGGTGTTGCAGCGGAGGCGGCGGCGGCGGCGGCAGTTGGAGCCGCCGAACCCGATGGCTGCGGTGGGGCCGAGGTCCGGCCCTAGTGCCGGCGCGGAGGCTCTGGCCCTGGCGGCCGAGCTGCACGGGGAAGCGACGTGCTCCATCTGCCTGGAGCTCTTCCAGGACCCCGTGTCCATCGAGTGCGGCCACAGCTTCTGTCGCTCCTGCATCGCCCGCTGCTGGGAGCGCCCGGGGATCCCGGTGTCGCCTGCCCCCCGCGCCCTGCCCTGCCCTCAGTGCCGGGAACCCGCCCGGCCCAGCCAGCTCCGCCCCAATCGCCAGCTGGCCGGGGTGGCCAGCCTGCTCCGCCGCTACAGCCTCTCCCCATCCGGGGACGGGGACGGGGAGGGCGCGGGGAGCCTGGTGTCCGGCTGCGTCCAGCACGGGGAGCCTCTGAAGCTCTACTGTCAGGATGACGGGCGGGCCATCTGCGTGGTGTGCGACCGCGCCCGGGAGCACCGCGCCCACGCCGTGCTGCCGCTGGACGAGGCGGTGCAGGAGGCCAAGGTGAGGGAGACCCCGCTGTGCGCGCCCCAGCCTTGGCATTGAGCGACTCCTCGCGGCTGCAGGCTTCCTGCTGCTCGGGCTCCGGGCTCCGTGGCCACCCCCCTCGCCCCTCGCCCCTCTTCTCGTCTTTGTTCCCGGCCCTTCACCCCCATCGACCCCCATTCCTGTCTCCCCTCTCCTCTCTTCCCTCTCCTTCCCGGTCTCCTCCTGAGTCTTGGAGTCGTACCCCCACTCCCCCCTCCCCCCGCTGACAATCCTACGTGGATTTTGCTTGGTTGTTTGCATGCTGTCTTCCCTATTAGATTGTTGTTTCCTTGAGAGCAGGAACTGTCTTCTGCCCTTCTTTATATCCCCAGGGCTTAGCATTTAGGAGGTGCTTAATGAATGCTTGCAGACTGATTATGCTCGGGATGCTTCTTGGTGGGCCCCCCTGCTATGGCAGTCGGACCCCCAGGACGAGTCCCCCATGGTTCATCCACTTCCTCCTCCTTCATCCCCAGTGTGTCATCTTCCTGTTTAAAGAGATGTGGACTTTGCCAAGCTGCCCCAGCCCTGGGTGGCGCAGGCTTGGGGAGAGGTGTGGGACAATCTCCTCTAAGCTGACAGAGCCAATAAGAGCCATACCCAGGGCTGAGGTAGGATCAGGCCCCTGTTGGGCGAAGTGAGAAACACAGAAATGCAGGCCGGTCCCCACACCTCCTGGTAAATGCTCCGTCACCCATGGAGCCATTCGTGCTGTTCTTTGTCACCCCGTCCTTTTAGTGATTACCTGTTAACAACCTCAATTAGATACATTCCTTCCTTCTTCCTCCCTTGGTTATGAGGGGGTCCTTGGAATATGCTAGGACTGGGAGGAGTTTGGACACCTCTCCTCCAGCCACTAGATGCCACAAGCTAGCTTTCCTTCCACAGATGGGTGGCAAGCTTCCTAGATAAGTCGGAGGAGTCACCTGTTAGAGAAAACCTTGCCTTCTTCAACTCTTATCGAGGGATAGTGCCCACCTAAATCCTCCTCACTGCTGTGGAGGCCTGTCCCTTCCTTTTCATGAGCAGAGCTGGGTGCATGTGGGACCTCTGTCTCTCAGCTTCTTCATAGGTAAAAGTAATAATACTTGCTGTAACCAACTTCACTGGGTTCCTGTGAAGTGAGTGCTTTGTACATCGTCAATAACAACTGTTATTATTTCAGAAGCATTGTGGTGTAGTGGCTAAATAATTGGGCTGGTAATCAGGGAAGAAGCTGAGTTCAGAAGCCTACCCCTAGTACCAGCTGAGTATTGATATAATGGCAAGTCGCTACTATGAGTCTGTTTCCTCCTTAGTAGAAAGAGATTATTAGGAATGGGTGATAGCTCAGAGGATTATTGTGAGGTTCTGAGGGGTTTGTGAACTTATTAACTTTTTTGGTAATTATTTTAATATAATTGATTTCCTTTCATTTAAAAACATTATGAGAAAGGGTCTCATTTACCAGACTTCCAAAAGGGTCCAGGACAACAAAAGAAAAAGGTTAAGGACCTCTGATGAAATGTATGTCAGTTCCATTACATACTTTTTAAAAGTGCTATATAAATTCATCACTGTTGCTCCTACCCCCATATTCTGATTGGGCCTTCCCAGCCAAACCTTAGCCTGGAGCAAAATACTCTCCCCACCTCCCACAATTGCATTTCACTAGTTCTTGTCTCAGGCTTCCTAATCTATACTCATGCTTTAAAAGAAGGTTAGCTCTTTCTCCTTCCTCCCCCAACTCCCATGCCTTCCCTCCCATTGCTGGAAGCTTGTGTATTTTAGCTGTGGTCTTTTGGAGACAACACCAAGTGAAAGTTACAGAGGCAAATAGAAGCTTGAAATCAGGAAAACCTTCTTAACAATTAAACTGCCCACATATAGAATAAACAACCTCGAGGGATGGTGGGTTCCACCCAATTGGAATTCTTCAAGCTGGTTGATCAGGGAAGGGAATTATTCCAGATGCTTTACAAATATTGTCTCGTTTGAGCCTCCCAACAACCTTGTCAGGCAATTGCTGTTACTTTCCCCGTTTTATAGTTGACAAAACTGAGGCAAACAGGTTAAGGGCCTTGACCAGGGTCACTCAGCCAGTAAGTGTCTAAAGGTCAGATTTTGAACTCAGATCTTCACTTTGCCACTTAGCTGCTCAGTCACTTGGTTGAGCCGATGGTCGGGTATACTGTAGTGGTTATTCATTTCTGGTATGAATTGCATTAGGTGGCTAGTGAGGTCCCTCCCAACCATGAGTTCTGTGATTCTGAATGTTTGCTCAGATGGAATAGGGGAAGGCTGGTGAGGGTGAAGTTGTTGCAGGCCTGTGGGGGAGATGTTTTTGGGCAGGGAGACCTTGCGCTGTTGTTCAAATCTTATCATAGTTATGGGTCGTCATTCTCACATAACCCTCCAGTTATTTTTGCTTTTTCCAGAGCAAAGCAGTGGAAAAGGTGAGATGTTCTAAATTTCCTTCTCTCCCAACCAAACTCATTGAATTCGTTTGTTGTTCCTCCCATCCAGGAGATGTTGGAGTCCCGGCTAGGTGCCCTGAAGAAGGAATTGGAGGAGTTTGAAGATTTTAAGTCCATGGAGGAGAAGGAGAGTCGGGAGCTGCTGGTGAGGAGGTGGAGGCTAGGGAGGTACCTTATATTAAACACCAGAGTCTGGGTACGCAGTTTGACTGCTGCACCACTTCCAAGTGGGTGTATGTGGAATAAGAACAGGTACAATTCTGGGTGAAAGAGGCAGAAATGTAAATGCAGGTTGTCCCAAAAGTCTTGGTGCAGTTTTAAATGATTAAAGCTCTTGGAACATCCAGTATAGACTTGAAGGATGGAGGGAGAGGGAGGTATATATCTATACAGAAGAATTCATATTAAAGGGTTAGAGTGTGTGTAGGACAGATGAATGTGTGTGTGTGTGTGTGTGTGTGTGTGTGTGTATTGTATGTGTGTCTGAAGTGGATATGGTCCATGCACATATGAAGTGCGTGCTCTCTCTCTCTCTCTCCTTTCTCTCCCTGCTTCTTCTTCTTCTCTACTCTCTATGCTTTCTACTCCCAGAGGCAGGCACATAAACCAGTAATAGGGAGATTGAGCAGAACAGGAGGTCAAGAATTCTGAGAACCCAGGCTGCTTTTTACTTTTAGACTTCTAAGATTCCAGAAAAGAGAATATGGGAGTCCCCCTGCTCATGATCTTTCTACTGATCTGTGATACCCAACCCTAATAACTTTCAAGCTTTTGCTGCTGGAGAAGTATATGTGTTTTTATCAGGTCAAAAACACCCCTTTGTCCTATCTTTGGTTTGTGATTGCTGTGATTTCAGTAAGGTGGGGAAGCTCCTGGCTTGAACTCTCCCTCCAACAAATCTTATAATTCCTGTGTAGCTTAAGGACATAAAGTTGTTTTTGGGCACTTGGAGTGACTCATCAATAATCACTCACCTTCTCAAATATTGAAAGTGTTCCTTATGATATTCTTGTAGTTCTAGTTAGTTGAGAGATAATCTAAGCTTCCTTCTGTTTCTAAAATATTATGCTTTGTATACTTGTCTTTGCAGAATCTCATTCTGAAGGATTCTATCTGATGTTTGTTTTATCTTGGGTTGAATGCTGTATACAACTTTTTTTCAACATTCTCTTCTCCACCTCCCCCATCTGTAATGCAGAACTAGTTAGCTATGTGGCTTTTTTGTTTAGTCATTTTTCAGTCATGTCCAACTCTTCATGACCCCATTTGAGGTTTTCTTGGAAAAGATACTGATACTGGTTTGCCATTTCCTTCTCCAGATCATTTACGGATGAGGTAACTGAGGCAAACAAGGTTAAGTGACTTATTCAGGGTCATACAACTAGCAGGTTGGATTTGAACTCAGGTCCTCCTAACTGCAGGCCCTGCTCTCTATCCGCTGTGCCACCTAGCTACCAATTATGGGGCTTTAATTAAATCAGTCCTTCCATTAATGCAGTTAATAGGAAGTAGACTTGAAAAGGTTTTAGTGGGGGATTAAGGAGAAAACTAAAGGAAGATAAAATCTTAAGCGGGGGAATTTGACATAGGCAGAGGATGTTAATATGCTTAACTCTGTAGGACCCTGCCTGTCTGACCCTTACCCCAAATACCTCTTTATCACTTCCTGCCTTTTGACACTTAAATGCATATACTCCATCTGCCCTAGGTTGGAAGTGGCCTCAGTTAGTCAGTCATTCAGTCTATAAGCTACGTATATCTGTTTTTCATTTGGTACTAAAGTAGAGTGATAATGGATAATCCCCTCAGTTTATCTATACCAGGCCCCCCCAATCTCTTCTTCATGCAGATCAACCAATCTGGCAAACAACCAGGAGCACTTCTTCCCTTTTTTGTTGAGAGGGACAAATATGAGTAAGAAAATTGGAACAGGCCCGTTCCAAAATATGGAAGAGTGGAATGTTAAAGAGTCTTCTCAACTGAGGCCTTTTCTGATTTTCCCTCTCTCCTCCCCACCCCATTCCAGTGGCTCTCCCCCTCCCCCACTCTTCCCACCCTTGTCCTTTATTTACTTATAGGAGTTGATTCCCTCGAGAGAAAGTAAGTTCCTTGAGGGAAGGGATGGTTTTCCTTTTCTGTCAGTATACCCCGAGCCTAGTACAATGCCTGACACGTGGTAGACTTTTAATAAAGGCTTGTTGACTTGATGAATGGATGAATGAATAAGAACCTATGGAATAGAACAGAGAGGGCAGTCAAGATTGTTTGTTTAGAAAAGATAGTAAATGTATGAGCATATGGAGATAATGACTGATTTTGTTGGGGCGGGGAATGGCAATTGGGGTTAAGTGACTTGCCCAGGGTCACACAGCTAGTGAATATCATGTGTCTGAGGCTGGATTTGAATTCAGATCCTCCTGATTACAGGGCCAGTGCTCTATCCACTGCGCCACCTAGCTGCCCCTTAATGATTGATTTTTTTTTTTTTTTAAATTACCTTAGTCTATAGTCTCAAGTGAGTGCTACTTTCTTCGAAGTTGTCGAGTTGGGAGAACATACAATTTATTCTAATGATACTTCCATGGCTCCAAAACTCCTCTATTGGAAATTCTGTAGAAGAATATACTACAGGTTCTAGAATATTTTCAGTAGTTGCAAATCTTCCTAATTTTAATTTGGGTTTGATTTTTGGAAACAGCCAAAGATCATCATGGACAATTCCAGCCAGTAAGGTAAGTGACCAAATTGGATGACATTTTTTTGTCACCTTGGTCTAGTAGAAAGAGTCAGCCCGTTTCATCTGAGTCCTAGCTATATAACTTTGGGTAAGATGGTTGGTGGGTCTCTGAGTCTAAGCTTCCTTATCTATTAAATGGGGAAAATACCTACCTGTCCTATCCCATTGGGTTCTAGAGAGGATTAAAAAGAGATTCTTTGTGTGAAGGCACTGTATGATTATAACTATAAAATAATATGTAAATATAAGTTGCTATTATTGCAAAAGGAAATTTTGTTTGTGGTTTTGTGAAGGTTTGTGAAGCCTTTTTTGTTCACAACAATCCTGTGCATTAGATTAAATGCTTTCCTCACAACAATCTTGGTAGGTAGGGGTAGGTAGGGATTGCGCAAGTATTGTGCAAGATTGTGCAAGGAAACTGGGACTCTGAGGAATTAAGTCAGTTGTATGTGCCCAAATTAGAAACAGGATTCAAACCCAGGTCTCCTGACTCTAGAGATCTGACCACATTGCCTCTCTAGATTTGTTATTTTTGTTGTTCAATTTTTTTGGGGGGGTTCATTTCCAGTTCTTTGTGTTTTCTTGGTAAAGATACTAGAATGATTTGCCATTTCCTTTTCTGGGGGGGGGTCATTTCCAATTCTTTGTGTTTTCTTGGTAGAGATACTAGAATGATTTGCCATTTCCTTTTCTAGCTCATTTTATGGATGAGGAAACTGAGGCAAACAGGGTTTTTTGACTTGCCCAAGGTCACATAGCTGGGAAGTATGTGAGGCTAGCTTTGAACTCTTCTTCCTCTTTTTTTTTTTTTTGCCAGCTTTTTTTTTTTTTTTTTTTGTGAAGCAATTGGGGTTAAGTCACTTGCCCAGGGTCACACAGCTAGTGTCTTTGTTAAGTGTCTGAGGTTGGATTTGAACTCAGGTCCTCCTGACTCCAAGGCCAGAGCTCTATCCACTGTACCACCTAGCTGCCTTGCAGGTTTGAACTCATGAACATGACTTTCTGACTTTAAGCCTGGCACTCTATCCACTGTGCCAGCTAACTGCCTGTAAACCAGTGAATGTTGTTCAGTTGTTTTTCAGTTGTGTCTGATTCTTCATGACCCTATAATAATTTTCTTGGTAAAGATAATGGAGTGGTTTGCACTGTATCCACCATGCAAAATCAAATAGAAACAGATCGCAGAAGGCCTCATGTTGACATAGAAAACCACAAATTGACATTATTTATGCTATGCTATATTTTTATTTATTTTGTTAAATATTTCCCAATTACGTTTTAATCTGATTTTGTGGATGAGTTTTGCAATACCTGCATGGGAGTTAGATACATCAACTCCAGATATATCTAACAAAAAATAAGACTGGATTTTTTTTTAGTATGTTTTCTAAACTTGCTTTTAAAGACAAGCAGCTCTAGAAGAGGAGTCCTGAAAAAAGATTTTGAATAATAGTAGCGTAGTTGGAGTAAGCATGTAATTCCAAAGGGTAGATGATCACTTTAAAGCACCATACTCATTTAGATATAACATGAGGAGTTGGACAATAGTAAGTCCGGATACATTTCCCAGCATGCTTGTGTAATAGACAAAGGGCTGTCTGAACAAAGCTTTATTTCCATGAGGGACAGAGGGTTATTTTGTTATGGGGAAGAAACAGGGAACCTGGGAGGAGGAAGATGAAGCCTGGGAAAACCCAAGGATTTTCTTCTTTTTTTCGCAGTGTTAGGCCACAGAGCCTTGGGATATTATGTCCTAGTCAGAGGGCCTTGCATCTGCTGCCCAGCACAACACATTGAGAGTTATTAGCTTGCTGAAATCTAGGTTTCCTGATCCCATTATAGATGTATAAGTTTTGTTCTTGTTTTTTTTTTTTTTTTGAAACTGACAGGCTGTATAAGAAAGACTATTAGGATGATAGAGTAAAAGATCATTAGAATATGATTCTTTGAATATATAGTTTCATCTCACATAAAATGAATGGTGTGTGTATAGGAAGGAATTGGTTACCAAGAGGAAAGAATATGTTTGTATAGTAGATGAGAATGTGTATCTGAGAGTAAACAGGAGAAGATCAAGTTCAGTTATGTGATGTGAGATGTCTCTAACTCTATAGAGTTTCATATAGTATATGTAATTCTATAGTTACATATACTATATGTAGACTGGTATGTACGTGTGCCTATTCTGATATGTAGTTGAGAGTTGAGGGTGTGTGTTCTTTCTTTATGTACTGTACTTCCTTTATGTACTGTACAGTGTTAAGAGATCCATTTCTCTTACTTATTCCCACTCCCTTTCTCCTTGGGCAGAAGCAAGTGACTGTGGAGCGGGAGAAAGTGGGGGCTGAGTTCCAAGCACTGAGGGCCTTCCTGATGGAGCAGGAAAGCAGGTTGGTGGGGCGTCTGGAAGAGCTGGCCAGGGAGGTGACTCAAAGGCAAACTGAGAACCTGAACCAGCTTGGCAGTGAGATCTCCCTGCTGTCCAAACTCACCACTGAGATGGAAGAGACATCCCACAAACCTGACCTGGACTTCCTGCAGGTGAGCTGGGCCTGACTTGCTCAGAATTACAACCATTAGATTGTTTAAGACTAAACAATAGTGGGAAAATACCAGTGCAATGCTCTAAGTTTATCTTATCATCAAGGCTTCTTTTGGTTGAGATAGAGTAATAAGTAAGGTGATATTAGAGTAATAGGACATTAGAATCTGATTCTGTGATTTTATGAAGGATCATAGAATCCTGGAGTTGGAAAGGACCAGAAGAAATCAAGTCCTCCAACATAGGAGAATTTCTAAATGGTTTCCTTTCCTTAATTTAGCACTTAGTTGCATACTGTCTCTTTTGCTTTTGTTTCATAGATTTGGATTCAGAAAATCTGGGCTCTTAAGTCTCAACTCTGAGTCTAACCGTATGACCTCAGTCCTTTTCAACCTACCTATTTTTAAGGAAAGTGAGACTTAGAGATCTTTAGGAGCAAGAGTTGTCTCCCCAGTCTAGTTGTAAGCTCCTTGAGGGCAGAGACTACTGTGCTTTTCAATTTCATTTTATATTAGCACCTAGCACTGTACTAACAACGATGGTGCATTATTATATGTTGGTTGATTAAACCATCTAGCACAGATGGCTGATTGTTCTTTTCTCCAAGATCATCAGTTATAGAGACTTAGTTTTATTCCCTAGCTAAAAGAGATGTTTCATAGATTTGAGCTAGAAGGGAACTCAGGCATCCCTATGTTACAGATGAGGAAACTGAGGCCCAAAGAAGAGAAATGACTTGCCCAAAGTCATACAGGTAGCAAGTAGCAGGACCAAGATTGAAACCTTAGTTCTCTGGTTCTAAATCCTAAACTCTTATCATGGTACCCTTTTGTCTCTTTGGTCTTGGTTTAAGAAACATCATAGGTTTCCTGTAATCTCATCCTACCCACCCCCTATCCCCCCACCAAAAAAAATTCTCTAACCATGTATGTAACAAATAGCATTAAAGAGTAAGGAATTTGTGGCTGGGGTTGTTGGAAAGCTGGAAGGCTACATATTCTTCCTGTAGCTTCCTGTAGTCTCTATTCAATTGATTGAGAATTTGTTATAAACAAAGCTCTGTGCTAGCATTTATTAAGCTTCTACTGTGTGCCAGGCACAGCAATAAATGCTGAGAATACAAAGCAAGGCAAAAGAACTGTCCCTGCTCTCAAGGAGCTTATAGTCTAATGGAGGAGACAGTATGCAAACAATTATGTCCAAACAAGACATATATCCAGGATAAATTGCAGGTGATCAATATAAATTGGAGGCAATCAATAGAGCAAAGGAACTAGCATGAAGGGGGTTCAGCAAAGGTTTCTTGTGGTGATACAGAAATACAAAGATGTTTAAGACGTGGTACAGGACTGGAGTTGTTTGTACAACCCAGTTGTGGATAGAAACCTTAAACATTAAAACAAAGTAAGATAGTAATACAAGGTGGTGGGCAACTAAGTACCAAATGTGTGATAAAAAGTTCTATAGGAATTCAGAGGAGGAAGGGTATTCATGGGAAACATTATACAGGAAGTACGACTTGAATTGGGCTTTAAAGAGTAGATAGGATTCAGATAGGAAAAGAGTGGAAGGAAATGTCACGTTATGAAGAGAAGGAGATCCCAGGGCAACAAATTTGGCCTGTATTAGGGCCCAGAAACCTGGGAGAGAAAACTTTTCTCTTTGAAGTAGGGGAAAATGAGATCTCCTAAGGGGATGGTTTTCAAGTCTTAGAAAATCAGAGAGAAAGGGGAAATGACCATGGTTTCTTTGTTTGAAGCCTAAACTGATTTTTCTTTCTTTATCTGGAGAATGAGGCATGTTCAATGTTGATTATTTTCTTCATTATTTTTGTTTAGGAGTTCAAGAACACGTTAGGCAGGTAAGTAAACTGTAACTCTTTGCATTTTTAAAAACCCTTCTCTGATTATCCTTTCTCTTCATATTCACCATTGTGGGGAGGAAAAACCAGATGACCTCCCCCAAGGAAAGTTGATGCCAAGCCATGGTTGCAGAGGGTTCTGGAGCCATGGTTCTCTTCTCTACCAACAAGCTCTTAACAGTGTAGGTTCCCTCCTCTCCCAGGACTCCAGGCATATGCTCTGTGGTTCCCCAGGGAGTCCTCCCTAGGTTGCCTGTATAAGTGGAAGGAATGGAACTAAGAAGGGTTACTTAGTCAAGGCTTGCTGGAGGTGGGTCCCACATTAAACCCTGTTTACAAGAAATGGACATCAAGTCAGGGAGGGATAGAGAGAGTCTATCTTAGAGGTTCCTGCAGACTAAAAGGCAAGAACCATGCTAGGAAGTTCTGTGGTATCCCCTTTCTCATTACCAGGTAGTCTCATGGCTCCATTTCCCAGAGACCAAAAGGGAAAAAAGACCAGGGAAAGGGAGGTAGTTGGTGCCAATGACATCCTCTTTCTTTTTCCTCCAAGGTGTGACAATGTGCCTGGCCCCAAACCAGCCTCAGTCTCTTCTGAAATGAAGAGTAAAGTTTGGAATATTTCACTCAAGACCTTTGTTTTGAAGGGACTGCTAAAGAAGTTCAAAGGTGATGGGTTTTGTTGGGGATGGGTAGCTGGGAGGGTTTGAATACAGATACTGTGTATAGGAGAGCAAAAGCTAAAAATGTGTCTAATGAGGTTCATGCAGGAGGGTCAAGAGACACTATAGGTCCAGCTTTATCAGCTGATTAATCCAAAAGCATTCATTAAATGCCTGCTGTGTGACAGGCACTGTGCTTAGGTTCTGAATGTCTTATCTTGGTGGAGCTGGTGGGGGAAAGGTGAGAGGGCAGTGCAAAAAAGAGAAGGGATAAGCAGCAACAGGGTCATCCTATAAGGGTGTCTTATCTGTCTTGTCAGAGGCTGTTCCATTATTTATTCTGAAGAAAGAATACGTATACAGGGAAGACTTTGAGTGGGTTGCAGGCACTGGAATAAGGCAGGATGGGGAGCCAGGTGGCATTTTAAACTCCTTGAGGGACCTGCAAATAGGTTACAAAGTAGATAGAGCGCTGGGCTTAGAGACAGGAAGACCCGAGTTCAAATGTGGATTCAGATTTTTATTAGCTCCGTGACTATGGGCAAGTCACTTAATTCCTTTTTGTAAAATGAGGATAATAATATAACCCCCCTTCCAAGTAAAATGCTTAGCACAGTGCCTGGCACATAGTAGAAGTCTATAAATGCTTGTTTTCTTCCTTCCTTCCCAGTCCTGCCTAGCCCAGTGCCTGGTCTTATAGTAGATTTAATACAATTTTGCTTGAATGAATGATGTCTTGATAACTCAACTAGAACATTCATTCTTGCTGTTTGTGTTCCTCCTCCTTTCAGAGGATCTTCGGGGAGAACTGGAAAAAGAGGAGAAAGGTAAATGTTGTTAGCAGTAAAGATGTAAAACAAAGCAATTCTCCCCATCTCTGTAAATCTATCTCCCAGTCTCTGTCTCTCTCTCTGGCATCACCAGCTACCCTAGAGGGAGGCAGTGTGTGCTATAGGGCAGAGAGCCCCAGACCAGGAGTTAGGAGACCTGGTATGTCATCCTGGCTCCGCCTCTAATTAGCTGAGTGACCATGGGCAAGTGACTTCCCCTTTCCTGGGGCCTCCGTCTTCTCTGTAAAATGAGACTGGACCTAAGGTCCTTTGCAGCTCTGACATTCTATTGCTTTTGTCTTTTTTTTTTTTGTGTGGGTTGTATGGGTCTTTTCCTATAGATGTGTCTCTTCTTTTCTCTGCCTTTTCCATTATGCAGGTGGGACTACCCCAGAGGGCAATGGGGCATGTGCTCAGTGGCCTGTGGGGTAACCTGTACCATTGGCACTTCTCCCAGGGGGAGGGAGCAACACTATGGCCTGGGTCTCTGGATACTTTACTTTGGGGAGGTCTGTCAGTCTACAACATGTACTGACCCTGCTGTGCCTCTTTCCCCCCCATTCCCGCCCGCCCTGTACAGATAGATCCCTGTACCAGGCACATTGGGGGGGAGAGACAGAAGAAAGGAAGAAACATGGTCCCTGCCCTTGGAGAGCTCCTGGTATGATGGGGGATACAGGGCATACACTTAACACTGGATTTTTTTTTTTAACGTAGAACACAGTGCAAATGATCAGAGTGAGATCTGAATGTACGCAGGATAAAAAGAATGATCAGGGTCTGGTGGGATGTAGGAATCCTGGAAGGCTTCCTAATGGAAAAGGGATTTTTTTTTTTGAGTCAGGTTTAGCAAGAGAAGAGAGAGATACAGCTTGTCTGAGAGGAGGGGGGATATCCCACCTAGAGTTAGGGAGCTATACCCAATGATGCCTTTCTCTGCCTTTGTCTTTTCCTCTTTTCCTCCTCCCCCAAAGTGGAATTGACATTGGATCCTGACACAGCCAACCCCCGCCTCATCCTCTCCCTGGATCTCAAGAGTGTCCGCCTGGGCCCACGACCCCAAGATCTGCCTCCTAATCCCCGACGCTTTGACACGAATACTCGAGTGTTGGCCTCGCGTGGATTTTCTTCTGGCCGTCACCACTGGGAGGTGGAAGTGGGCTCGGCTGATGGCTGGGCCTTCGGAGTGGCCCGGGAGAGTGTCCGGCGTAAGGGCCTCACCCCCTTCACTCCCGAAGAGGGCGTCTGGGCCCTTCAGCTCAACGGTGGGCAGTACTGGGCCGTGACATCTCCTGAGCGCACCTCACTGAGCCCCGGGGGGCGGCTGGCCCGGGTCCGGGTCGCTCTGGATTTAGAGGCTGGTGCAGTGTCTTTCTATGCCGCTGAGGACATGCGGCACATCTACACCTTCCGAGTAGCCTTCCGAGAGCGAGTCTTTCCTCTCTTCTCTGTCTGCTCTACTGGGACATACTTGCGGATCTGGCCATGAGATGGGGTCAGAGATGATGGGCCGCTAAGAGGATGGGGCTGATTCAGGCCTCTGGGGTACTGGGAGCTGCAGGATGTTGATCCTGCATAGGTCTTTCCCCCTAACCCTGGCTTTCCACCTGGCCAGACCTAACTTTGTTTTATCTGAGAGATGGGATACAAGCAACAAGTTAATGTTGTATGTATAGGCCTCTCCCAAATCCTGGCTTCTTGTTTGCCATGTGCTGGCTTTATCCCTTCTCCAGCCTCTTGCTGGGGCTTATTACAAGGAAAGCAGCCAGATTATCTCCTACAGATTGTCACCCTTTCCCCTCCTCGTTCTGGGCTACCTTTTCACCAAAACTTATCTGTGGACTTAACCTTGAGGCCTGTGAATTCTAGGGACTTTGGCCAACCCTCCCTTTGATGTTTTTTCGGCAGGTGGCAACAACTGTGGCCAAGTAGCAAGTTTAGGCTGTCCATATCTGCCTGGCTCCTTGTTCCTGGTCTCACTTCAGCTCTAGATCTTAAAACTGCTCAGTGTCTCCTTTCTCTGGCTGTTGATACTGGCTTTTGCCTCAGCTTTCTTCTGCATCTTCATTTTCCCCAGGACTTTAGGAGGTGTTGGGCAGAGGTGGTAAGAAGTGGAAGGGGGACTAGCAAAATTCCCCTTTCCTCGGGGGCCGGTTTCTCCAGCTCTCTGTGGGTTCCTGCTTACTTGAATCTCAGTCCCGAGCTATCCCAGCTGAGGAGGAAGGCAGCTCTGGGGCTGGGGCAGGAGATTTTATTTTCTCTGCTTTGCACTTTTGTCAGGCTGTAGCCAAGAGGATCAGAAGTGGACTCAAAGCTGAGTGGACTTGGCTGCGCGTCTTTGGACTCGTCAGTTTTCCTGGCTACAGCTGATGTCTGGAATCAGGAAAGAGTTCTGTTTCCAAGATGTCAGTCTGCCCAGACTAGAATTAGACCATTGCCCATGTGTGTGACCATGTAGCCGCTCAAGGGAATAAATGCCAGCACACTTTTGGGAATTCACACTCACACTGCCCTATAACCTTCCTTCCCCTCCCCCACCCCGACCATATAAAGACTATAAAGGTAGACCTTACCCCTAAATACACAGGCAAATCCACACTTAGACCTTCATAACCAGTCACATTAGCGTACAAACCCACAGGCACCAATGCACTCATAACAACCGATATTCAGGTACTTCCTGCCACAAATATATATTCCCACTGTTTTACCAAATGATGTAAATACACTTGCAACACCTTTCCAAGAAGCACACCTAGAGAGTATGTCATACACACATAGATGTACTGTCTAGATCTTGAATCACTGGGTTCTAGGTTCTCCTTCATGATTTCCATGGCCTCTTTGCCAGGACGGTGCCTCAGTTTCCCTAATTGGTGATACTTCCTGCTCTTGGCGACCCGTGCTGCAGAGACAGGGGAGCAGAACAAGAAGGGAGGAGGAGTGGCTTTCCGTGATCAGCTTTCCTTTGGAGGGTCAGAAATACAGAATATGAGTTCACATTGTTACTTGGTTTCTTGGCGGGGTGAGGTGGGTGGGAAGGGGACTGTGTCATTCAGAGGTGTCTGTGAGTCCGTGTGTGATTGTATCTATGGATCATTTTTCTATTCTGAGTGGTGAGTCTGTGTGTGGACCTGTCCATTACTTAGTGGATCTGGATACTGGTGTATGTGGGTGTGTGAAGGGAGTACACATTTGTTGTAGTCTCCCATTATGTGAATGTGGGTGTACTTGTGTGTATTTGTGCTGTAAGTACCAATATGAGCTCGCCCCTTTGGGGCTATGTGTTAATGGAGGAGGGTTTTTGAATGTTCCGTTGAGGTGTCTGAGTTCTTGATTGTGCATATAGATAATGTTTGCATGTGAGTATGATATCATTCAGTGAATGTATGTCTCTGTAGCAGGAGTGAATACTTATTTGACTAGTAGCTGCTCTGGGTAGGGAGAAAGGAAAAGTTTGGCATAGACTCTAGACCCTAGAGCAGGAGTTCTCAACTTAGGATATGTGAACTTGTGTTTTAAAAAAAATTTTTTTTGGTTAACTATTTCAATATAATGGTTTCCTTCGTCACCCTATTTTATCTTTTTGATTGACAACATTATTCTGAGAAGGGGTCTTTCCATAGGTATCCCCAGACTGTCAAGAGAAGCCCATGACACAAAAAAGTTAAGAACCCTTGACCCAGAGGAAGGCTATATGCAAAATAGTTACTTGTGATGTCATCAGTCTTCTGTCTGATTCTGTGAGTGGCTCTCTCTGCTCTCCCATTCTCAGGACTTGAGGTTCCTTCCCTCACTCTCCATGCTCAAATGATGGACCCTATTAAGTGGCAGAGGTGAGTTGGGTAGTTGTGGGAATAGGAGGGTCTGTCCCATTTCCCGGGGCAGGGCAACACCACCTGTGAAGGCAGCAGTAGAGTAGAGCTCTGAGAAACCAGGCTTGAGGTAAGGCCAGCTACTCACACTGACTTGGAAACTCCCAGTCTTCATCCTCCCCCAGAATCCAGGAATCCTGCCATTGAGCTGATAGTAGTCGCCTTAACTTAAAGGCATTTTCTTCTTCCCTTCCTTCTGGACATAGACATCTGTCCAAAAGCTCCTTTGTCCCTTTAGGGATCCATGTGTCTCAATCTTTCAGTTTCTGGGAACTGGAGCTAACTCTGATTTGCATACAGAGTGGTAAGAGGTCCACAGTGCCCAACACAGTATCTTGCAGGTAGATGCCCATACAGACATTTACTGAAAAGTGAATTTCCACATGTATAATAACCAGAATTTCTTTGTCACTTAAAGGTTAGCAAAGTGCTATACAAATAAATATTATCTCATTTGATCTCAGCAACCCTGGGAGGTAGTGGCTATTATTATCTCCATTGTATAGATGATGAAATTGAGGAATGAGGTTAAATGAGTTGTCTGAGGTAGGATTTCAACTCCTGTGTCTTGTGTCCAGGTGCAGGCTACTTAACTGCAACATTGGATCGCTAAGAATTGACTACTTTGAATGTAGTGGAGAGATCACTAGATTTATAGTTAGAGGACCTGAGTCCAGATCCCAGCTCTTTCACTTGCTATGCATGAATCAACAATCACTGGTAGGCATTGGGAATGCAGATAGAAAATTAAAAATCTCCAATGAGCCTTTATTCTATTGAGGGAGGCAACAAGTACATTACATAAGTAAGATGATACAAAATAAATACAAGGCAATTTTTTGGAACAGGCACAAGCATCTAGGGAGATCAGGCAAGGCTGTTCACATAGAGCTGAGCTCTTGAAAGAAATGGCTGCTGTCATGCGGAAGTGCATTCTAGGCACAGGGAGACAGCCTATGCAAAGGCACTGAGGTGGGAGATTGTGAGGAGCGGCTTGACTCTATGTGTGAAGGGGGAAAATGTAATAAGACCGGAAAGGGAGGTTGGAGTCAGATTCTGAAGGGTTTTAAATGCCAAATAGGAGTTTGTGTTCCATCCCAGAGGTATCAGGATACTCTTGGAGTTTTACTGCGTCACCTGTGTGACCTGGGGAAGATAATTTCACTCTCTGGGCCTCATTTATCTGTAGAATGAGGGGTTTGCCCTAACCTAAATGATCTCCAATCTCCATCACCTTCACTGCTCTAAATCTGTGTTCATATGATTCTAATTAGGGAGGTAATCTGGAGGAGATAAAGTGTTAGGAAACCTGAATAAACGTGGTGAAATGTTTTGTCATTCTTTGGTGATAGGGTATTTCAGCCAACAGATATAACCTAGCAAAAAGCCCAGAGGCAAGAAAAGCATATTTAATAAAAGGACTATTGACTCAATTTATCTAAGAGGAGGAGAGGTTCTAAGAGATTAAGAAAGTCAAGTAATTTGTAGAGAGCCCAGTGAAAGTTTTAAGACCAGATTTTGGTAAACACCCAAGGAGGGGGATGGTATCGTCAGAACAGTAATAAGGGAAGAAAACTTAGTAATAATGGAGGTCAACTGGAAAGAGAGGATGAAACAAAGAGGGGTAGTCTGGTTAAGGAAATACCAGTATATTATGTGAAAAATGACTAGATTAAGGTTGTGGTTGAAAGGTGAAACGTAAGATTTTAGAGTTATTTATGCCCTTATCGTCTGTCTTAGGGTATTGCAATCCTGATTACAAACCTAATCCAACCTTAATACAGCTGCTAAATTGATATTCTTGAAAAAATTAAAAATTAGTCAAATCTACCAAGATATCCTTGATATGTGCATAGATTCAATTACAAAATACTCCTTATAGGAATAAAGAGCTACTTAAATACTGGAAGAATACACAGTACACATAGTTGAGCTGGACCAGTATAAAAATTCAAACAGAACCAAAGTTAATATACAGATTTAATGTTATGCCAAAGTACCAATTGAGATATTTTTCAGGGATAGATAACATAATCCATTTGGAAGAACAAAATATCTGCATCATCAAAAAAATTGATGAAAAAAAGGTAGGAATGAACATAAAACAGCTTTGTCATGCCTTTAAACATAGCACAGAGCAACAGTCATCATTAAAACCATTAAAACTAGTTTAAAAAATGGAAAAGTCAGCAGAACATATTAAACAAGGAAGAGGCAAAAACATTAAACCCAATGTTCAGTAAACCTAAAAACAGAAATTACTTAGGAAAGACCTTGTTTGATATGAACACCTAGGAAAAATGGCAAGTAGTCTCATAGAAATTAGGTTTAAATGAACGTATCATTTTCTATAATAAATTCAAAGTGGATATGTGATCTGAATATTAAAGATCATACCATAAAAAATAGAAGAAATAGATCATATACTTTTCAGTTTTGGGTAAGGAATAAATGATTAAGCAACTGAGGGATAAAAGAATTTTGATTACATGAAATTGAAAAACTTTTGCACCAACTAGGATAAGAGAAGTAATCTTTGTCTCAAATATCTCCGACAAGGGTTTCTTGTTTAAGATATGTGGACTAACAGAACTACGAATTAACAGAAATAAAGGCCCCAAACTATTTTCTAATTAAGAATTGCAAACTATTAACAACCATATGGAAGGATGCTCTAAAATACTAATAGGAGAAATACAAATTTAAACACTCTGAAAATAGCAAAGATTATAAATGATGGAAATAATGTTGGAGAAGTGAGAACATGAATCTTAATGCGTTATTGGTGGAGCTGTGGATTGGTACAACCCGTTCTGGAAATGTCTATACCCTTTGGTCCAGAAATTCCACTGCTAGGCATATACTCCAGAGAGGTCATTGAGAAAAAGATTCCACATATGCTAAAATATTTAAAAGCCGCTCTTTTGGTCACAAAGAACTGAAAACAAAAGTAGATGCCCATCTGTTGTGGAATGGCTAAACAAATTGTGATACCTGAATGTAATGGAATATTAATGTGCTGTAAGATACAATGAACATGGTGAATACAGAGAAGCATATGAAGACATTGATTCAAAGATGAATTGGTTGACTTGGGTGTTTAGGAGGATGGACTCTAGTCAAAAAAGTCACCATTTTGTGCTGGCCGTATATAAAAAGAGAGTATATAGACCTGCTTAGGACCTTTTAGGCTTTTTACAACTTTTCCCTTTCAACTTCTGGAATGCTGCCAGATAGGAGAGAGGAGGAATTTCTCATTCTTTCCTCTCCTCCCCACCTTCTCCTGGCAGTTAAAGGCCTCCTTAGGGCAGAAGCCCAATGTGTTTATCCAAGTTAGCCTGGAAAGAAAGAGTTCCTTTTTTTTCCCCGTTCTGAGTATAAGTCCAAGACTCGAGAGTAAATGTCCCAGACCAAGAGATGACAACAGTCATGCTACCAGGTTGAGTATTCTGGACAAGTATATAAGCCTACACATAAGCCATACACATGGCCACAGAAGAGTATGTCCATGGACAACATCATTCCTGAGCTACATCCTAATTAGAGGAGGGAAGATTTCTAGGCAGCATGTAGCTAGAATGTTGCCTCCTAGCCAGAGAAGGAAGGAAGGTTTCTTGGGTATTACTAGCCTTGAAGAGGGGTAGGCATTAAAAAACCAAAACCAAAACAAAACAAAACAAAACACCTTCCTGTCCTCCAGGAGCTATAATCTATGGGGGGAGAGGGAGAGAAGATATGGTTGATGTGTTAGTTGGTTTAGCTGAACTGTTATTTTTTTAAGTCTGTTATAAGGGATGATAAGATGGGTAGAGGAAAGTATTAGGTCAAAACAATATATATCAATAATTTTTTAAAAAGTTGATTTTTACTGATCTTTTATTTTTGCCTTACAAAGATTTCCCTGTATCCATCTCCTCCCAGAGAGCCATCATTTATGACAGAGATTTTTTTTTAAAGAAAAGAGAAAGAATAAGAAAAATTCAACACAACTGATCAACAAATGAAAGAAAAATGATTAAATGCTGTGTTCCACACTGTGTATATTTTTTGTCACAGTGTCTGACATAGTAGTGACATGCTTTATAAGTGCTTGTTGAATGAAATTTACTTGAAAAGTTGTGACCTGCTCTTGCTCATGACCAGTAGTTACAAGACTTGTACTCAGGTTTTCCTGTCTCCAAGGTTGACTCTCTATCCACAGCAAGAGATAAAACATGTGTAAGGGACTCATAGCTCAGCTGATTCTAGAGCTAGAAGGCCCAGAATATAATTACATGGTGATAATGAGGAGTAAACTGAAAGTAAAGGGGCTTTTATAACTCAATCCCTTTATGAGATATGAAATCTTTCTGATTGCGTCAAGAAATGAGTAAGGATTGACAGATAAATTATCCATGCACCATTGTATCTTGAATGAATTTCAGAATTGGAGAACTGGAAGCAGTTGTGGTTGAGATCTTTAGGGGGAGTATTCCATACTCTCTATCCAACATGTTAACTTTGAATCAGAACTAGTTTTATCAGTAGAGAAAGAGTACATCCAGCCAGGAGCAGAGACCCACATTCCATATAGATTCAGAGAAAGACTCAAGACATTCAGATAGCCAGACTCAAGAAGAGGATACTCCCAGAGTCCAATTGAGCAGCCAGCCCAGCAGAGACTGTGCACCCAAGGAGCAACTTTGAAAGGTTTGCATAAGGAGAGAAAAGGCTACTAGGCCTGAAACAACAAGACTTGGGAGGTGCCTTTTGCCATTGCTATGTCCTACACTGGTGCCTCGCTATCATTATACCTTAGGTCTTTGCCCATTTTCCTCACTGATGTTGTGTGTATTTGTGGGGGAGTTCTCCCCAGTTTTATGTGAGGAATGTTTTACAACAATTGTTCTTGATATGTACCATCTTAATAAAGGCCTTTACTAAGAGCAAATTGCATTGACTACTGTCTTTATTTTAAAATAATTTTTATCCTGAACTTAAGATACTTCCTGTAAAAAAAGAGCATTTCTACACATACAGTAGAACACAAAAAGAGGATTCTATATGAAACCAGGAATCTCTATTTTATACCATTTGCTTTTTTTTTTTAAAGTGTTTAATAAATTCTACATGTTACTTTCAAAACTGACCTGCCTGTCCATGCTTCCTTCTGGGTTTCCTTGTTCTTTGTTCACTTAAAAATGCTAAAATGTCTCTTTTTTTTTTTCCCTCATCATAATTGCTAATGCTACTCCCTTAACCTTGACCTTCCAAATTAAAAACCAAGAATTAAAAGAAGTCCTTGTAGCAAATTAACAGAGCCAAACAAAATGGATCCACATAGTGACCATGCCCCACAGTGTGTATGTCTCTGCACCTTGTGATCATCATTTCTGTGTCAGGAGGTGGGTAACGTGCTTCACCATTGGTTCTCTTATGGCATGGATGGTCATTGTTTTGATTGAAGTTCTTAACTCTTTCCAAGTTGTTTTTCTTTACAATATTGCTTTCTTTGTATAATCCTAGTTCTGACTACTGCAGGATTCCCTGTAATCATTTTTAGTCATTTGTAAAGACATAACAGTATTCTGTTATATTAATATGCCACAGTTTGTTCAACCAATCTCCAGTTGTCTTAAGAGGCAATGTAAAATACCCCATTAGATTCTAGTTTTTTGCTTCTCCATTTTAATTCCACATTCTTCATCAGCAAGTGTTTTTTTTTTTTTCCACTTGTGACTATTCCCTTTCCTATAATATCCTCTCAACACCAAGTTGGTTGCTGCCTACACTCTTCTGGGCTTCATGCAGGCCCCTGCGTTGGGGACCACCCTGGGCCATTTTCAGAGGAGCTCTACCAGTTTTATTGCTTCAGGACACAGAATATTTTTTTTTAAATTTATTTTAATTATTTAATTTTTTTTTTTTTTGCGAGGCAATGGGGTGAAGTGACTTGCCCAGGGTCACACAGCTAAGTAAGTGTCAAGTGTCTGAATTTAGATTTGAACTCAGGTCTTCCTGAATCCAGGGCTGGTGTTCTATCCACTGCACCATCTAGCTGCGACCCTGCCCCCCTCCTCCCCACTCCGGACACAGAATCTTGCACACTACAAGTGTCTCTGGTTGTGTTGGAATGCTACCCTATGCTGGTGCTGGCTTTATGGGATGGCCTCTTTTTCCTATTGCTTGTGGACTTCTGGCTGACTTTTGTGCAGTTTTGAGGTAGAAGTCACTTTCTATAGTTTCTCATTGTATTTCTGAATAATTATTTAGGTCTGGTCTGAACTTTTTCGAGTTTTGTTGGTGTGGGTATGTGGAAGCTGGGAGGTCTGCAGCCATCTTGGTAGGAAGTCTTTAGCAGCAGTCTTAATGGGATGCACACTGGTGGGCAGACCCTAGAACTTGAGGGAGAAGCCACCCTCTAAAGAGGAAGCCAACCTGTCAGTGAGAATGTAAGTGCAAGTTTACACTTTAAAAAGTTAAATAGAAATCAAATCAATTAGGTTTCTTTCTTTTTTTTTTTTTGTAAATAGTAGTTTAGTTTTCCCCAGTACATCTAAAGATACATCTAAAGATAGATCTAAAGATAGTTTTCAACATTCATTTTTAATAAGATTTTGAGTTCCAAATTTCTCTCCCTTCCTCCCTGTCCTTCCCCCTCCCCAAGACAGCAAGCAATCTGATATAGATTATACATGTGCAATCATGTTAAACCTATTTCCCATTAGTCATATTGTGAAAGAAGAAAGAACAAAAGGGAAAAACCACAAAAAACAAAAAAGCAAAAAAAAAAAAAGTGAAAATAGTATGTTCGATCTGCATTCAGACTCCATAGTTCTTTCTCTGGATATGGATAGCATTTTCCATCATGAGTCTTTTGGAATTGTCTTGGATCATTGTATTGCTGAGAAAAGCTAAGTCTATCAAAGCTGATCATCGAACAAAGTTGCTGTTACTGGTTCTGTTCATTTCACTGAGCATTAGTTCATGTTAGTCTTTCCAGGTTTTGCTGAAATCCATCTGCTCATCATTTCTGATAACATAATAGTATTCCATTACATTCACATACCACAGCTTGTTCAGCCATTCCCCAATTGATGGGCTTTCCCTCAATTTCCAATTCTTTTTTTTTTTTTTTGGCTAGGCAATGGGGTTAAGTGACTTGCCCAGGGTCACACATCTAGCTAAGTGTCAAGTGTCTGAGGCCTGATTTGAACTAGGTCCTCCTCACTCGAGGGCAGGTGTTCTATCTACTGCACTACCTAGCTGCCCCAATTTCCAATTCTTAATCAGTTAGATTTCTTATAAGAAATGCCATTCTGAAATGGAGCTTGAGGAAAAAATTCAAGAATGGGATTTCCTGTGTCACTTGTCTTCATCTCCAGATCTGACATCTGTTCTGAACTTTAGTCCCATATTTCCAGCTATTTGTTGGAAGTTCTACTTCTGTGTTCCACCAAAGGCCTACTAAGTAGGTCTAAAAGGAAACTCCTCATTTTTTCCTTGTGCTAGTTCATTAAAGGACCTCTGTCAGCCCAGTTCCCTCTTTAAAAACAAAACAAAACAAGAAAGAATGAGAAATTTTATCAGTCTTTCTTTAACTTTCAATTCTGAAACAATGTTATGCATTGAAATCTATTTACCTCATTCTTATCAAAGGCCTCACCAGTTTTTGAAGGGAGAGGCCTGTTCAGTTCAGCAAGCACTCCTCCCAGAAATCTATTAGAGTATAAGACAAAAAGGAAGTAGTCTTTGATTAATTTCATTTAGAGACAAATTTCTTGAGTTCATCTGTGAGCAGGAAAAAAAATAGACTCCTTAGAGTAAGTGATTAAAGAGGGATTGTATAGTTTAAGAAAATTTTAAGAAAGTTATTTTTTCTCATGTACCAAAAATTGTGACTCTTGTTCTGTTATATGAATCACTGTTACCTAAGTTTAGTACTCCTATTTCATCTTGATTATGGAATTTTGTCTATGTTTTGAAGAGGTGGCCCCAGTCCTTGTCAAGGAAAACCCCTCTACATGCACAAATGATCCCTTTCCATCTCATCTGCTACAGCAGATTGCCCTTTCTGTCATCTCTGCTCTCTCTTTCATCTTCTGTCTCTTCCTTATTTACTGGATGCTTCCTTACTGCCTATGAACAATCCCATGTCTCCCCCATCCTCAAAAAACTCACTTGATCATTTGCTGTGCCTGAAACAAGACATTCCATTGCCTGTGAATTTTCACTGGTTGTCCTAATGTTTATAATTCTCTTTATTGTCATCTCTTCTTCCTTGTTTTCTTCAAGGCTCAGCTAAAATTCCACCTTCTGTAAGAAGCCTTTCTCAGGTGTAATCCTAGCTACAAGGGAGGCTGAGGTTGGAAGATCTCTTGGAACTAGAGAGTTCTGAGCTTCAGTGGGCTAATCCAACAGAGTGTTCACACTAAGTTAGACATTTAATATGGTGACTTTGTGGCAGTGGACGGTAACCAGGTTGCCTAGGGAAGGGTAAACCAGCTCAGATCTGAAATAGAGCAGGTCAAGTCTCTGGTGTTGATCAGACTGGGGCTTGCCCCTGAGTAATGCCTGCACTTCCAGCATGGGTGAGATTGGAAGACCCAGTTAAAAAATCAATAAATAAAGAAACATTTTTCAGATCTCTGAATTATTGCCAATAATCTGGTCTCTCTACCTCTTTAATTCTAGTGTCTTCCCTCAGCTGGTTATCTCCAGTTTATCCTGCAGATATATTGTCTGTACTTAGCTGTTTGCCCAGTCAGATTGAGATGCTTAAAATCAGGGACTACCTTTTGCCCTTCTTTTATCTCCAGCACTTAGCACAGTACTTGGCAGGTGGTAGATGCTTGATAAATGCAAGTGGACTTGACCCTGTACATTGTAATAAGAAAACTTACTTGGGTAGAGAGATTTCCAAAGGTGGGATGCTTCTGTCCCTTCAGATTTTTCTCTTTCTAAGCAGAGGTGCTCAGAACTATTTAAATAATAAAGTTGTCTCTGGCAGATTTGTGCCCATAATATACAGCTTTTTTTTTTCTCTTGTGCCCCCAAATCATATTCCCATTTGGACTTCTCCATCTTTGTCAGTAGTCTCAATCAAACCATGGAAATTCAGATTCTTTTCTCTGTCATAAACAGCCATTAGGCCCTATTGATTCTCTCTCTCTCTCTCTCTCTCTGTTTCCCTCTTTGTGGGAAGTGGATAGATTAGCCATGTTATTTTCCTCAAAGGGACTCAGTTGTCTTGATGGACAGGTAAGGGCTGGGAGGCAGCTTCTGCAGGCCTGAAGCAGGGCCTATTTGATTTAGCAATCTTTTAAGCAATATGGGACTGGTTCCTCACCACCATGTTATGGGGCAGCTACAGTAATTTAGTGCTTAAGCTCTACATTGATGTAATGCTTAAGCAGCACAAAGGAGTCCAGTACCTTGTGGATGATGAACTTGTCAGTGGTTGTCTTGGGGCATGCACCGGGCAAAGTTGGCCCAGCAGCCCTATTCCTTCTGGTCTCATCTTGCAAACTAGGAAATAAAATATTGCTCCACCTTTGGTAAAGTCTTTTACATCCAACTCTTCCCTGCACTCAATACCATCTTATTACGGCCCTCATCCCATCACCTTGAACCTGGATATTCACAGGAATCTGTTCTCTCCACCTCACCCATCTCATTTTTCCAATCTATTTTACCCACTACTGTCAGAATCATTTCCCAAAAACAGGTCTTCTTATTCAACTACCTCTCTCTCTCCCAGCTGCAAATATGCTGCCAGCCGGGCATCCTTGCAGTTTACCAGCTCATTTCAGTGACTGATTTTGGCAGGTAGCAGGATCCTCCATTTGTTCCTGCTGCCCCCTCTTCCTCAACCCTTCCCCCATCCCCACAGCTCCCACCCCAGCCATTCCCCAGAGTCAGTTCTCTTGCCCCTCTGCCTTCAGAGAATCT